GCTGGGATCTCTGCCTTCTCCACCCTGCTTCTGAGTTATGCCAGTCTTTCCACTGTATGCGAAGGTCATTTATCTCTGCTACTTTGCCCCCAGCGAGCCACCCCTTAGTGAATTTTGCCGAGATTCTTCTCTGTTGCTCTTCGCCATCTGGCATGGAGTGTCTCGTCTTTTGCCACTTGCAAAGGATCTCTGCCTGAATCAAGGTCCTTGTCTCCGCCCATACCTTCTCCCTTGGAGTTGAGAGTCCCTCAATGGTTCTGCAGCAACTTTCCTTCCAGATGGACCACAACGTTACCTTTCTGATCATTCCAAAACCTTTCTAAAATCATCTAAAAATTTAGCGCTAGTTGTGGTAGCCTGTACTTTCCCTATGGTTGGATATAATGCGCCTTGCTAGTGAGGAGGGCTAGCTATTAGGATGGAAATAGGGCATAGCAGCGGCAGAGATAGTGGCTCCGTCGTGGTAAGTCTTGCCGGAGTAGGGATGAGAGGGACAGCTGGATGGTGCTGGTGGATGGTCACAACTAGCGCATGGGGGAATTGAATGCATCGGAACCGCAGCCCTGGTGGCGATTGGCAGTTCGTCTGATGCCTTGCCGATGCCGTTTGACCCATAGGCTTGCGAAGGGACGAGGTCAGAACGATGCTGGTCGGCGCCTGGCCGTGGTTGTGCTGCCCTGTAACCTGAGCCATGTGGGGCCATGAGGCCTGGTAGAGCGTTCTGGGGAGTTGTCGAGGGTGGGAGGCACTCCAGTGGCCGTCAGCGAGCTGTTCTTAGATGACGCTGGCCAGAGCCGTGGCGGGTTGTTTCGCCCTGTAACCTAGCAGGTGGGGGATTGTTCTGGAGTGGGTCGCACCCCTGTGTAACCTAGCAGTTGGGGGTGTGAGGCCTGGTAGAGACTAGGTATTGAGGGTACAAGGGTTGAGGCAGGTTCAAGGTTGGGCTGCTGAAAGACATTGAGGTTGTCAGGTTTCGGGTTGAAAACTTCTCTGGGACAAAAAATTGAGGTCTTCTCATAGCCCTTCTGAGTCTTAGTCTATCTCAGGAGTATGCTGCTGAATAGGCTAGCAGTTACTCATGACTTCTCATAAATTTCCTGAATTTTCCTAATTGGTTCTCAGCCGAAAATTTCCATATGGGATGCTGGGCGTGGCTCGCGGCACGTGCTTCTCCCCACAAATAGATCGGAGCAATTGTCCCAAAGAAAAAAGTAAAAGAAAAGAAAAGAAAAAGGGGACAATTGGTGGATACCGCCCACATGCCAAACGGGAAAAGTTGGGAGCGAAAAACCAAGAAGGTTTTCCCGTGGACCGTATCGACCAATTTTCTCACGAAAGAGTGCCGCACTGACGTTTCGGTAAAGCGTGGCTCCGAGGGGGAATCCGCCTTGGCAAAAGGAGGCTCGGACGAGCTCGTCATTTAACGGCCAAATAAGGTCATATGCAGTCCTTTCCTTATTGCTGTTTATCGTAAGTAACATATCCATAACGTAGCAACTTGTGGATCTCTTAAGTTGGTACCCAATCCAGATTCCGGGCCCAAGTCCCACTGACCTGAATTCTCGATTTGTGGCCATAGATTATTAAGCTCAATGCCGAGAAATGAAGAATAGGGGCAAGTGGAACTTGGCCTCTGGACTCTTGCTGCAACTGCCTACCCTCATCCTTGTTGCCTGTTTTTCACTTCCATTTCCTCCAATCGATGTTATGCTTAACATGCTATTAATTAATAATAATGTACATGCACATGCATCCTTTTCCCATCTCTGCTCCATTGAAGCTGGTGAACTGCAGGTTTTAGTGCTATTATCGCCAGATTGGCTTATGAGGGCACGTCACATTAAGCCACATAGTATCGTTGTACTGAGTGAAGAGACTTCCAGGTACTACCCCACATGACTACAAATGACATTTCCATTCCTTTTCCTTTTTCTCCTTGAAACCACTACCAAACTTTCACAACAAAGTTCTCCACCACCGCATTCCTCGGGGGATCGGCCTCCCAGACTCTTTGGTTGGCAGCGCCAGCCGAGAAGGAAAAAATATTGTGCCGCACCAGTTCGTTTTGGAATTGGCATGCAACACAAAGTCACCTTGTGAAAAAGAGGCTCAGAGGTCATGGTGGTTTAATGGGTGCTATTTAAATAATTCTTATCTTGGCCTCCACGAAGAGGTTCTGTAGTTCATTCTTATTCAAACGACAAATTCTCCTAATTCGTGTACGGCCTTAGTCATTTGTCATGCCTCTCCTCCCCTCCCCTCCTCCCCCCCCCCTGACCTATTCCAACTGCCCTCCCAGTATACCTAGACGGCGCGGCTGGGAACACTCCTGGCCTGGCAGCCGCCTGCTAAAGCCACAAAAACCATTTGCGGCCATCTCTGACTGCCGTTAGATCATGATGTTTGCGGCTGAGGATGCCTTTGCGATCAAAGCCCGTGGCCCTACTTCCGACTGTGGGGATTCAGAAACCCCGCAGCCAGTCAGACGGACGTGCTACCCGTATCTTTTGTTGTTTTTTGTTTTCAACCCCTAAGGTCCAATCATGGGGTAAGTGAGGTGCCTGCATCCAAGCAAGCGGCCTTGCTCAGCTGGTTAGGCATGCAAGTGGCATTCAGGAGGTCGTGGGTTCGATCCTCAGTGACCGCTTTAGTGCCGACCAACCTAGATAGTTGGCTTGCTCCCAGGATAACCCCGGGTTGAATTGTGAGGTCCCCGGCCTCGATCTGTCTTTGAAATGCAAGTTTCCTTAAAGTGTCACACAAAATAGCTGAAGTGCCATGTCTGACATTGTCTGTTTCATGCAGGTATGCTGAAACGGCTCGAAGAAGCGGATATGGCACTTCCAGCTACAAAGGGGGGGGGGGGAGAGAGAGAGAGAGAGAGAGAGAGAGAGAGAGAGAGAGAGAGTAGAGCGGAGCATTATGTCCATCTCAGTACAACCAAGCCCCAGGAGGTGTGGGCCCTTATGCCGATAGGGGTGCTGACAACTGCCCGTCAGCAGCGGTGTCAATGGTGTGCTAACTCTCCTTGCCAATGGTGTGCATGCATCAGGGAACTGCCTGTCAGTTTCAAGCTGTAAGGAGCCCGATAAGCATCAATGAGTTTAGCCCTGCCCTGTAGGCTGACACACCGGAGGATCCTTATGCAGGCACAGCTTGGCATGATGTGCTGCAGCCGACATACGATACGTTCTTGTTTTCTGGTCCTCCTTTCCTTTGTTTTTTCTCCCCTTACTTCTAAATCCACACCACCCTGGCCTTTACTTCTAAATCCACACCACCCTGGCGCAACTCCAAGTTAAAAATCGCCAGTACTTTTCCCAGCCATTTTTCTCCAACAAGGTGTGCACACGGCTGCAAATTTCGGGGGTCAGCCTACCCGTGCAAAAGGGCTGGTGCCACCAGCCAGAAGAAGGCAGCCCACGCCGATTCGTTTTTTTTTGGTGCGCAGGGCGTTCCCAGGCTGGCAAGGGAAGGGTCAAAAGTACTGGTGGTCTGAAATAAACCCACGGAGCTTGGTAAGCATGAACCTAGCCATAATAGTGGTCAGGTTTGTGCTTTCCTAGCATGAAAACCACCTAACTGCAGGGATCCACCACAAGCAGGCCCAGCCTAGGTCTGCTACTATGGAACGAACAGGTTCTATTATGGAATGAAGAAGGTTTGGAAGGGGGAGGGGAGGAGGGACAAACGA